AGAGAGCTGCTTGATTTTGTTCCAATGGGCAGAATACAGTGGTCTCCCTGCCTTTTGAGGGTTGGACGGGCCTTACTAACATCAGTTAACGTTTAATTTCATTTATGTTAATATTTCAGTTCGTTATTGGGTTCATCCCCCCCCTCTCATCTTTTCATTTTAGAATTTTGTGCATATGTGTTAGGATCATTAAAATTACTATGACACGGGGCGCGTTTTGTAGGTCTCCCTAGAGTGGATGTGGTATTATGGTGCATGGAGGATTGATTCGTGACGGACGAGTTCTTATGGTGAATGAGTAAATTGTAATGTCTGAATGGATCGTGAATCAAATTAGCTAGGTATAAGATAGTTAGTGAAGACCAGCGATAATATCAAATTATTGACTATCACAGCTAGTCTTTCTTACTTCTATAGGTTTTATTTTACTTTTTATGTTTACTTTTTCCAGCAATTTTTTGAACAGGGAGAATGACTGTCTTTCTTCGTGCCCTTTGACCTCACAGGCTATCGTGCATAAATAAAACGTTATTTTCATTCTGTTTCAAGTAAAAGGTAAGAATTATTTTTTAAAAATCCAGTTAATTAATCCTTAAATTTACTAATAAATTTTGAAATACATCTACGAATATTGGATTTGAGCCCTTCGTTCCTGAACAATTTTAACCCTTCTGCCTGAGCTCCTGAGTCAAAATTCGCAAATAATTGGTATGTAATGTTTCACGGTAGATATAAAAATAGCTACCAGTGTTTACCCACCGTTCAACCGGTAGATGAGCATTAAGTCACTTTTTTCTACCACCGGTAAAGCGGTGGTCAGGGCTCAAAGGGTTAAAGAGAATTTTAAATTTGTTGTTTACATTTTCCGTTTTAATGCACGTGATACGTGACTGACCAATGAGAAATGGCCCAAAGAAAATTAAAAATACCAGAGTTTCTGGTTTTTTTGTTTGTTTGTTTGTTTTCTCTCAATCTCTGACGAAGCTTTAAAAAAAGGAAACATGTTGGATTGGCATACGTTTCCAGTTTCCTATTTGTTCTTTATTTTATCTACATACATACATACATATATTCATACATATATATATATATATATATATATATATGAATATATATATAATGAAAGGGATTAAGTCCGACTATAATTTAATATATTTTCTGTTTATACGTTATTTTCGTAAATTTCGTAGAAGATACGCGTTCTCGAATATTCATGCCCGTAAATGTTAAGCGTATGGTGGCAGAATAAAGAAGAAACGACGAAGGTTTATATAAAATAAATATTTACATTATTTTCCCATTGGTTGTATTAAAATACAACCAATGGTAAATTGGTGTAAATGTCTCTCGTTGAAAGAAAGAGATAAGTAGAATTGTAAAAGTCGTCTGCAGAGACGTACGATAGGAGAGGGATGGTGAGTTGTAACTTACTGCGGCGACGGTCTTTTGGCGAGTTGTCTTTGGAGATAGGAGATCGCCTTCCGACGAGCGTTTCGAATACTGGCTGTTGTGCCGTCCGACTGCCGAAGATATCCCTTTGATAGGCTTTTATGTCCTCAGATCGGCTCCAATTTTTTGTTTCTTTAGGCGGGAGTGGGTACTATTGGGTGAAAATTCAGGATTGTGTTTTTCTTTGAGTGTGTAAGTAAAACGGAAGCTATGTGCGGAGCCGATACGCATGTTCACGGAATTTTTAGTCCAGTCTTGGGTTTCGGAGCGTTCACATCCGGCCAATGGTGGAAATTTGTGTAACATGAATCAGAAGAAGATCTGGTTTTAAGAAGATTATAACAATACTGTTTAATTAAACAACAGAGCATTTACTTAAATAAATTATATCTATAAAAATAACATATAAAGAGAAAATATATTAAATAATTGTCGTACTTAATCCATTTCATAATATGTTGTCATTGTTTACGTTAAGATATGTTTCGTGAGCAGAAATGATCGATCAAGAAAAATCGTCGAAGGTGTGTGTTTATAAACAGTAATTCGGACTTTGCTAAGCAGAAGCCTCTCTGTGACTGAATGGTAACAGCACGTCAGGCTATATGACGGTTCCCATAAGGGTTACAGTTTCGATTCCTGTTGGAGGACGCATATTTTCTACGAAATTTCTCAAACATTCAAGCCGGTAAATGTAATTAATACTATTTAATTAAAAAAAAATAGAGCATTTACTTAAATAAATTATATCTATAAAAATAACGTATAAACATATATATATATATATATATACTAAAGAATAGAATTTTTTATTTAGTAATCCAACATATTTTATCACTTTAAACGTTGTAGATACTCGTATTTTGAGGAAATGCACCGTTTATTTATTAAACAGAATATTTATTTCCGTGTACTGTTTTGAATAATTTTATCAGGCTCAAGCACGTCACATCAAACGAAGATTCCCTCTGCTCAGGGGGACGCAAGTGCGAATCCTGCTGGAGACATATATTTTCCTTTAATCATATTTCTCGAATATATATATATATATATACGTCTGTGAGGGGTGTGATGGATAAATTGTCGTCTAAATTACTCACAAATTGTGACACTATTTAGCTATGGTAATTGGCTAATTAAGCATAGAAATTAAAAACGAGAAATACTTAAGGCGAGAAAGTGCTTTTTTAACAAAAAAAGAATGGGAAAAGATTTTATTTCATTCACGAAGATACTTATTCGCAGAAGACAAAAAATCCGTAAGAGAAAGCCAGATTTCAGATTCTGTTAAAAAAAATTCGGCGGCCATAAAAAAAATTCGGCTTTGGTCCACTGCATACAGGCATAAGAAATCAATATTGGTTAACTATCAGATATCATTAATTTTTTTCATTCTTGGATTCCGACGAAGAAAGCCAGCCGTTATGTATACAGATCTTGATATGATCATTATTACTGCTTATTCAAACTGTTGACGACAGACTTAATATCGCCGAAGGTGGGCATCTGGTGATACGAAAATTTTAAGACACGAAAAAAGTAAAGAATTTGATTTTCAGGTGTAACACGACCACTCAGTTTAAAAGTTGACTAGCAGAGATTAATGAGTCGGTAAAGATTCTACTAGGTGGATTTTGGGTGGCTCAGGATAAGATAAAAATTTAATTATGGCCACGTGGGATTCATAAGAATTCTGGCCGATAGAAAAGCAGAAGAGAAAAGAAAGAGAATTTTTTTTTCTGGACGATAATTTTAAGAAGGCCAAATCTAGTCACACCCACGCTGCCTATCGATCATTGGCCAAGTGGTCGCGTAAGTGATAGGCGAAGGTGAATGTATGAGAAAGTTGTTGACACCCACTAAGAGGCTTGGTATGAGATACCAGTATGAGAAAGGAAGAGTCTAGGCGGCTAATTCTCCTCCGACCTCTCCTCACGGACAAGGGAGACACCCCCCCCCGAAATGGAAAGTGATTGGCTTCCAAAAATGGGAATTTGTTTTTTTTCCTGTCCTGAGGACAAAGAGAATTTTGTTGGGAATTAAGAATTGTCAAAGAATTTAAACCACAACAGGCCCCCAACCCGGAGTTGGTCGGTGTCCATATAAATAAACGTCTCGAGGCAGCTAGTCTGTTTATTCGGCAGAGTTTCAAGAGAGTTCGGAGTTGCAGTTGGAGACCAACCTTGCAGGAGCTGACTGAAAGATTTCCACACCTTTCGACTTAGTCTTCCTACCAAAAGCAAGTTTTTATTGACGAATGTCTTAAAATACCACAACTCGCTTAGGAAACGCAAAAAGTGTCGCGAATCCATAGAAACGGACCGGGAGAGAAACACACTCCTGTATTTAACAGATAGATAAAGTTCATTGTTATTTCTCAACATATTTGAACCTCGTGAGTTTGTTTTATTATTTTTCTTTTACTTACGCTTGTGCGATATCACCTTTAACCCGGATTCAGCTTGCACTACGGCCCGACGCCTAATTGATTTCGTCTACCTAAGATCAAAATTACAACGTGGTTAGGTTAGACTTGAGATCAAAGCAGTTACTTCGGTGACCAAGCGTTGGAGGCGAGCTGAGAACGACAAAGTTGGTATCAAACTGGAAATGACCAGATCGACCGGGACACAATCTGGTGGCAGCGACAACGAGTCAACCCCAAACGCTGGTGGAAGAAACCTTACAGCTTCGCGCCGCAACTGGGAGTTGGCCATGGGCCGACGGCGCAGCGTCATATATTGACGTCGCGACCAGTGGACGTCTCTTAATGGCGCTGGCGCTGCGACCGCGACCACATAACATTGCCATCACTTGTGATTACTCCAAACACCGTAATCACCATTAGGCTCATTAAACTCTTTCCAAATCCTATCCACTGTCCGCACATTGACACACAAACATACTGAAATGTTCGTATTGGAGCTTACAATGTGAATGCCAACCAGTACAGCATGCCGTTTTCAAATTTGTGGTGGATTGAATTGCGTCATGGTGCTCTTTTTCGTACAAACGGTGTCCAACTGACGCTACTATACTGTGCAATCGACAAAATCAATGACATAGAACGCGCATGCGTGAAATTAAAAATGGCGACAATTTACCCATCGTGCCCTGTATATTTGTAAGATATGCTATATTTATGGGTAAAATTGCTCAATATCATCGATAGAGTGTATGTAAATATAAAAGTGGACATATTTACTACAGGCCAGGAGATTGGGTAAAACATGAAAAAATCTGTAGCCGCTCGGTGGTGACCTCAGTGTCCATATATATATATATATATATATATATAATAACACATTCCAAATTTAAAATACGAATATACATCATAAATAAGGTAATATTATACTAAAGACAATAATTATTTTTGTTGAATATTAAACACAACTTTATAGTGATTTTCTAAGCGCTGATTAGATGTGGCACAAGGCTGGAAGTATGGAGCACCCAGTGAGAATCGAACTCACTACTCAGGCATAATTATGATAGCGGTCAGCCGGAGACGCTGGAGGCTGAGTATGAAAAAGCACTGACGGAGAGTATACTGGGACTTAAGTTTGGATTAGGCTTAGATAGATAACACGTGCAGAAACTCATTGAGGTTTGCCACGCTAGGCCAATGTAGAAGCTAACCCCAAGGTAGGGGGAATACCAGAGAGAGAGAGAGAGAGAGAGAGAGAGAGAGAGAGAATATGCGCCACCCGATATCTACAATAGGAATATGCAGAGAGTTATAAACAACCTGATGATATATATATTCGAGGCAAAACGGTAATTATTTGTTGGAAATTAGGCGCAGTTATATTGATTTTCTAAGCGTAACTTAGATGTGGTACAAGGTCGAAAGTATGGGGCATCTAGTGAGGATCGAACTCACTTTTCAGTCGTAACTGACCTAGCAAGACAAGCTTGCTAACCATTACACCACGCCGAGGTGCCCTAGTAATTTCCCAAGCGTAGCTCAGATGTTGCACAAGGCCGAAAGTATGGGGCACCCAGTGAGGATCGAACTCACTATTCAGTCGTAATTGTTCTAGCGAGACAAACTTGCTAACCATTGCACCACCCCGAGGTGCCCAAATTAGGCGGAGTTATAAGCGATTGCTTTCGGGTAACTGGTAAAGTCTGGTCGGAAGAGACCCACCGTGCGGAGGAGAAAGGAATTACCGACGTATATAGTCGACAATATAGGTTCACCCAAATCAAGATTAGGCTAGTTAGATATTCATATAGGACTCTGATAGACATGGGAGCAAAAGTATTAGTCATACATAGAAGAGTTTATAATCATGCTGCAGCCCAAACCCGAAATGTGAAAGAAAAAGGTATATCTATAACACGGCTGCACCGGCTCGATCCAGGGTCTTTACTACGCTGGTCACCAGTCAACTGATGGTTATCTGGTAACCGCTTCGCTCATTCATCTGCTTTACCAGTGCAGTGAATATTGAATTTTCATTCGCGCTTAAGCGGTGAATCGAGTTGGCGGAACCGTGCTATGAAAATGGACAAAAATGCTTTCGCCGGTGAAAACACAAATAGCATAACGAATAACGAAGAAGGCCGCTGGGTTAATTTTCAGTGGGTTTATATTGTAGCGATATGGTCCTACGACGAACGTCGGTGTTGCCAAATATGTAGCGGTTATATTACCATTGTTGTTGTGAGCGTCGAACGATGAACGTCGCGGTTATCATTATTGTAGTGATGGTGTTAAAGATATTTTACCTTGGGATAGGAAAAGTGAGATTAAGGACAATGCGTGAACGCAATGCAATTTATATTTGACGTAAATAGCACATAGAATAAAATACAAAACTGAACTGAATGATTTCAAAATTAGATTTATTAATGTTTGATGTACATGCATGCGAACTGAAAAGGTAGGAGAGAGTCGTGTCCCTTTGATTAGGTATTAGTTGTACCGGAGTTCATATTAAGAAAGTTTGGAATTGTGAGGTGTAAAGTTGGTAAAAGTTCAGGAGTGATTTCAGAGTTCGTGAATATTGGTAATTGTCTTTAACGTCTGGCCAGCAAATGACTAAGACGGGAGTTGGTGAAGGTTACATCTTGGCACTTGGTAGCAAGGAATGAGACGTGCGAGAGAGATGAATGAAAAGAAAGCTACTCAGAGAGTTCACACGTGTTCGGTTTATATAATGGTCGTGTACCACGTGGGAGGCTCAAACGGAGAACACGGGAAAAACAGATTGGTCGCGTGCAGGCGGTTTGATTGGTCGAAACAATCAGATAGGAGGAGTGCATTTCCTAAAAATAGGTAAGGCTGGCTTGTTGTGGAAGATCCCACAATGTTAGGTATCTCCATGAGATCGCTGGAGAATGAGCATAGCATGATAAAAACGGCCTTAAACTTGACGAAAGCAAAATTTTATCGTCAAAATATTTGTTACTATTAAGAGGAAAGAACAAAGTATTTTTTTAATTATTTTTTAAAAAATTTTTCCTTTTTTTTCAGAACATTCTGACTTATGATTAAAAAAAACTTTGTCTCTTTTCGTCGGTGGAAATACTAAATAACGTAGCAAATTTTTGTGCATTTTTTTTTTTTTTAATGAAAGACATTAATTTTGAAAATCTTGCAAAAATAGAAATAATTGTCGGATTTAAATGAAACGTTCAGAAACTATTCAAGAATGATGGAAATTATTATAAATATGTTATTTCTTTTTAAAGTCATGATAATATATATATATATATATATATATATATATATATATATATATATATATATTACCCACATCCATAAATAATTTTATGAAAACTCTAAAAATTCAATGATGAAGCTCACAAGTCATTATATTAGTTAAAAACACAAGGCTCTGAGGAAAGTAAATCATGTTTTTTTGTTTTTTTTAAAAAATCGGACTTCATCTACGTAATCGTTGATACAACAAAATTAGTCCTTCTTCTTACAGTAATACACTTTTTCTAGGTTAACATGAACGCCTCCTACTTTCAGTAGTTTCTTCTTATTCAAAAACAATTTTTACCGGGTAATATAAAAGAATTTTGTCAACTATCAATGTAAAGAATAAGAGAAAGGAAATAAAATGTAAAGATTATTATAAAAGAAATTCTCAACGGCCACATTTTATGTTTTCAATGATTCTGCTGATCAACGACCATTTATCTGTCACTAGCAATAAAGCCCGGAGTTGCCCGGAGATGTAACAGTAAGAGATAGATCAAGCATCGACCATCATAAGGACTGAAAAATAAAATTGACAAAGATTATTGTTTAAGGTTGACGGACACGCATGTCTTAATTAGTTTTTTTTTTTTTTTTACGAATTGGCCAAACCCAAACTCAAATAAAAACATTGTTTTCAATCGTTATGATTGAATAGAATTTTGTTATAAACAATTGTCTTGTAAATGGAATTTTTAAAGCATTCTAAATGTAAAAATAAAGTAAAAAGTGTGCATGACAATAAGAAACACTATCTACCAAAATAAAAGTGAAGTTTTGTTGAAATCGGTTGAAAAATGTAGGAAATCCGATCCCATATATAAACGAACACACACACACACACACACACACACACACACACACACACACACACAAACAACCTGAGTTTTATAATAAGTATAACTCGATATGAGTTGTCCCCCTTTCATTCTCGTGATGCCACGTAATCGTGTTTTCAAATTGATTTCGTGCAAAAACAATTGTGTTTTCCCAATTTCTGGCGCTGTCAGAACCACCGCAAGGTAATTTTACGTAGTCCTGTGAAGTTTTGTTGAAATCGGTTGAAAAATGTAGGAAATCCGATCCCATATATAAACGTACACACACACACACACACACAACTTGGGTTTTATAATAAGTATGACATATAATGTTATCAACAATTTTGTTGATTATTATTTCTCCTTTTTTCATAGTTCGAGTAGATAGTTCATAGTAGAAGGATCTTGAGATATTTCCCTTCACACGTAGAATTGCTTCGGTCAATCAGTGTGGTTTGTTGGGTTTATCAACTTGAAAACTTTTTTGCATTTTCATTCAAAGAAGATACATACATAATCCTGGCTTTTGAATTTCTAATAATTCTTGAAGTTTCTTTTTCTTTTTACTTTCCGTCTCTGGAATTTTAAGACAATTTTACGTGGTAACTAGCCCATGGAGAAAGGATAAACGTTTTTTTATTTTTTATTTTATGTCTTCTTGATAGAACATCCGCAATCTTTCTGATCAGTTAGTATAGGGACGCCCCTTACTGTTGAACGTCACATAAAATTAAAATCGTTGAACGTTTCATATGAAATTGACAATTCGACCGTTGGCCCAATTTAAAAGCGGTCAAGGCCGAATTTTTAAGAAATAGCATACAGAATAAAAGATAAATTATTAAATTTTAGGATGGTGATTTATATTAAATATCAATACTTCAAATGATTGATTTAATTCAAACTTAATTATTTTTAATATAAATAACGAGGGTTATGTCACACCTCCCCACCTAAATAAACTTTTTTTCTTGAGACACGGGTTATTTCAAATACGCGGCAAATACTAGAAAAGGAACACCCCCATCTCATTCTTTACAATGAGTTAATGAATAGGTTCGAATTATGCTCTTTAATGGAGTGAAAGCATGTCTTAATATTTTATCACAAGTCTTATTTATTCCTAAATGTCCTCCCATAGGAATTTTGTGAGCAGTTGCAACTATTTCAGGACGATAAATTTTATGATGGACTACTGCCGAATCTTCGGTATCTGGAATATGAGAAGGCTTTTCTCATAAGTACGTTATTTTTTATAAAGTACCATGTATTAATTTTCTTCATATTTTCAACTGATACCACATTGTCAAAAAGAGATATAATTTCACGATCTTTCTTCTGTGCCATCACAAGTTGATTCCGAGACAAAGGAATATCATTGACGGGCTTCACATTACCAAAGTCACATTTAATTACATATTGAGTAGGATGAGAAGAATCCACATTTTCAGCAGAATTGAAGAAAGTTTGAGATAAATCATTTTCTCATTCCTCATATAACATTTCTGTTTATTAACTGTTGCTCTCTTTCGAGGATCTGTTGTCACACACGAAGAAGATACACTAGGGTTTTTAACTTTTTGGGGGTGGATAATAGCTTTCCCGCTAACCAACTCATTGCCCAATAACATTGTCACACCCCTCATAAGTAATTTGGGAACAACTCCCACAGCCGTCGTCATTCATTTTAGTCCAATAATTTACAATTGCGTGTCCTGCTTTTATGAAGTATTGACGCATAGGGAATTTTCGATTCCATCCATCACTTTGTCTATGAGAGAGAGAGAGAGAGAGAGAGAGAGAGAGAGAGACAGACAGACAGACAGACAGACAGACAGGGAGTCGGCGAAATTAGAATAAGTGTTAATCAACGAAGCGCAACGAGTTGATTAGGAAGCGAGGATAAAAATAATGATAATTAAGGACGGTTCGAGTGGCAATAAAATTGAGGCTATGAGTAACTTGATGAGATTAACGGATTAACTGGAAATATTGATAAAGTGACTAGCTTAAGAAATAAGTTGGGGGAAAATTCTTCTTATTTCTTTTTTTGAAGAGGTCACCGAAAATTTTATCTCTTTTTTTTCTTCTTTTTTTTTTAATCTTTTTTGTGAACATAAACAATGAATGGCCAGACATCCTGGCGACCAATTGTTCCGGACGGGTGACTGACCACTGTCGAAGAAGTTAACGCTTCTTGGCGAAAAGGTTACCAGGAAATATGTATGCGGCCAGAGGAAAGAGTCGAAGGGTGGCAGATAGTGACAATTCTCGCATGGCGATTGGCTGTCCCAAGGCTACCCGAAACTATGTGGGCGACCAGGACAGAGTTGACCAGAGGAGAGGGGAGTCGAGGGGAGTCGAGGGGAGCCAATAACGACAATTTTTGAATGGCTAGTGGCTGTCTCGTTTGCGGGTGTAAGTGAAAGTGTCCACTGGGAGGAAGCGAAGAGGGAATTAGGATTAGTTGGAAGATACAAGTCACGGCAGCCGGCGATTGGCCGTATCAATTATACATGGGGACCCTCGAAATAATAATCCCACCAATCTTCGATATAAGCAGGGGTTTGGGCTACGAAAGGTAGAGTTGTTAGCAGTGGCAAGAGAGTCGCAGAGAGTGACGAACAGCAGAGGCCGAGAGCAGCAGAATTGCGGAGAGTAAAGTGAAGTCCCTGAAAGTTCCTGAGACGTGATCGTAATAGCGGTTGCGGAGGCCTGATATGAACCAAGTGGAAGGCCCTATTGTATAAGCGAGGGCGGACGTGATATCCACATAAGAAACTGGAACGACTGAGAGAGATAACGTGATACGCAGACGAATATATATATATATATATATATATATATATATGTATATCCTTAATTTTAATCCTGCTTGTATACAAAGGCAAACTCTATTGAAGCGACTCCGGTCTGTCGCCCATGATTATTTTATCGTAATTTATTTTTTAATATACCCTTGTCCCACCCTCAGCACACTCAACAGGATCCAGGATCGACGAAACGACTCTTCAGGTCAGAAAATTCACAACGTGGGTGGAGAGTGGATTGTTGTCACTTAGAGTCGATTGGGGATCTGCCGGGCCTGACGGCCGGACCCGCGAAAGTCGAGTGGGTGAGGGGCATAAGGGTTTATATGTCGAGATTCTGAAGATTTAAAATACGTACTTATTTTGAGAATTTGAACTTTTGTTATTGTTTTTATAAGAATCAGTAAAATGGTTATATAGTTGATTTGACTTAGGACTTGGGTTTGGACTAAATACAAATTTACATCCTAGACAACATCCTGATTCAAATGAATTACCGGTCTTATGCTTACTGCGTTTATGTGTCAAAACGTAATCATCAGCTAACTCGGCCATTTCATGTACATTATCAACCCGTTTCTCATCTAAATAGGTTTTCACAAAGTTTGGAACGCATTCGTTGAATTCTTCAATTAGGATCATTTGTCTAAGTTTGTCGTACTCAAACCCGGCTTCCTTAGATAAACTCCATCTATCAAAATAAATTTCTTTTTGACCAGCAAACTCTACATAAGTTTGTTCATTACTTTTCTTTAAACCCCTAAACTTTTGACAACAGGCCTCTCGTACCAACTCATAAGTTTTTTGGATAGCTAATTTAACTATACTATAATCATTACATTCAGATGAGGATAAAGCAGGATAAGACTTTTGTGCCTTACTCTATGACGCAGTATGTAATAATATGGGCCACGAATTTGTGGACCAGTTCAAACTAATAACAACTTTTTCGAAGTGTAGGAAAATTTCATTTACTTGTTTTTCATTAAAAATTGGTACTGATCTAAGTTGCTTGGTTAGGTCAAATCTGTTCTCTCTTTGCTCATTATTTATATGTTGTTCTATTTCTCTAAAACGAATCTTTTGTCCTATCTTACCTTTCTCGATCTCAGTTCTGGTATTAATTTTGATCTTCTCCATTTCAAACAACTGGATAGAAGATAATTCCAGTTGTGCTCGGCTTAAAATATCCTCATATAAAATGTCATTATCCACGATATGTTCGACAATGACTTTGTCTGGGCCTTACGCATAGTTTTCCTGATATCGAGTTCAAGTTTTTTTTTACCGACTTTTCTAAATTCAAGCAATTGGTAGGAGATTCTAAAAAGATTTCCATAACCGTCGTCTGAATTTGTTCTCCGTATGATTATCGATGTGTGCACAAATCAACTGAATAGAGTATAGAGTATCCCAAGACGTGCCCCCAATTACAAGGTAACCAAAAAAGTTCTGTCCGTTTTTAAAGGAAAAAAAGAAAGCGCTTCACAGTATGTGTAACTTACATTTAGTCTTCGAAGTAATCGCCATCGGCATCCAGCACCTTCTGCCAACGTGTCTCCAGCTGTTCAATGCCCTTGCGATAGAACTCGGGGGATTTTGACGCAAAGAAGCCTGTGTGGGCTTTGCACAAGTCTGTTTCATTGGTGAAGGATTTCCCACGAAGATGATTATCCAGGGAGTGGAAGACGTGGTAATCGGATGGCGCAAGGTCAGATGAATAAGGTGGATGGCACAAAGTCTCCCACCCAAGTTGCTGTATGGTTTCCCTGACCACTCGCGAGACATGCGGCCTGGCGTTGTCATGGAGGAAAAGAACACCTTTGCGATTCACCAGCGCTGGATCCTTCTGGCGCAATGCCTGTTGCACACGTTTCAATTGCTGCGAGTATAGGTCTTCAGTGACCGTTTGGCCCATTGTTAGCAGTTCATAATGAACCACTTGATGACCTGTCCACCAGACACAAAGCATAATCTTGCATGGATGCTTAGGCGGTCTTGCGGTGTGAGGAAACAACCAATGTCTGGAACGCTTGGGAGTTTCGTAGAGAACCCACTTTTCATCACTGCTAATGAGGATGCGGTACGGTGGCGAGAAAGCAGCGATACGCAAGCTGCCACACGTTGCCCCTTGTGGACCTCCAACAGCGTTTGCGGAACCCACTTGCTCAGTTTGTACATCTTACCTAGGCGGTGCAGGTGAAGTCTAACTGTTTCATCGGAAACGTTGACCTGTCTTGCATGTTCACCACACGTTAGACTACTGTCCTCTTCAATGGCCACCTTCAGGACTCTGTCATTCAAGACCTGTGGTCGTCCACTGCGAGGCTCATCATGGAGAGATAAATCTCCCGACTTGAATTTTCGAAACCAACGCCTTGCAGTACGTTCATCCACAGCACTATCTCCAAACGCTTGACATATGCGGCGACTTGATGCAGCTGCTGATAAGCCCACTTTGAAGTCATAAAGCAAACAGCCCCGAACGAGATCTCTAGACACTTCCATCTTTTTCACAGCTGTCCGGCTTATAACTGATGGGCACCGTGCACGTGTTTTTTATAACGTCTGATGATTCTACTTCCGGCTGTCCAAATTTGAAAACAATTGCTACACGCATTTGATATATATTTCAACTTCATTCAATGACTAATCAAAAAACGGACAGAACTTTTTTGGTTACTTTGTATTTCAAGTTATGAATTTTATCTTTCAACAAAATTCAAATATATGGCAACGAATGCTAAAGAAAAGAAATAAAAAGTATGTATTTGCTAGAAATTATGAGGATTTCTATCAACACCGATGGACATGTGTCTATAAATATCGCACACACCTCACACAAAGAAAACTAGTAGATGAGGTTTTAGTGGAAATGTTAAATGTTGAGGAGTCTCCCAGTGGTGATAGTAGAGAAGAAGGATGTTAGTAAGAGACTCAGTGTTTAGGGCACTAAATAAGATTACTAAGAGCAATGCATACCCACTCCCGCTTATTGATTATATTTTAGCATCTTCTGGCTCAGCTACGTACTTTACAAAATTATATTTAAAATCTGGTAGGTAAAATTACATGAAAATAAGGAAGAAAAATTCGCGTTCACGTGTCATCGATGTTTATTCCACTTTAACATTATGCTATTTGAACTCGCTAATGTGCCCAGTGTATTTCATGAATTAATATCGACCGTTTTACAGGTCCAGGAGCACCACGCTCTATCCTATTTTCGTCCTGTGTATGACGATGAACTACATCCTGCAGAAAGGTCTCTGATCGGCAGATTGAAGGTTTTCGGGAGCGTGGAATCACCTCTTAATTACTGTTGTTTCCATGTCCAGCCTGACTCACGGTTGTAGCACCCAGTTCTGGACAAATTATGACCCCCAAACAAAAATCAACAGTACAATTTTTTATAGTAAAATGAGAAACAATACATTTGATGATCTACGAACTATATATCTAAAAAAAGAAAACATAACTCTACTTTGAAAGTATAAAATCGTATACAAAATATCTGTAGTTGAAAATATAAAATTACGCACAAAATATGTAAATTTAGAAATTAAATAACCCATAGGTGTTGATTTTCTGCTGTTCCTTTGGATCCATTAGCGTGGAGAGCAGGGCATGCAGCAGGGTCAACATGCATACCCACCCTACTCCGGCTTGATCCCACCTTACGCCTAACAATGGAAAGGTAGTTAATCCCGGGCATCAAACTGGAGAGAACACACCAACTTCTCCATCGGCGCTGACGCAAAACGAGGAGTAGCAGTCTACCATTTATAAGTCATGGCTCAGTTGGCGTAGAGCTTAGCGCATGGGTTGCTCCCGACGGTGGAAGGGACCCTCGGATCCCATTGGACAGCTGTTGGTCGCCTCGAGCTGGGTAGCCCCCAACCAAAAAGATGATATCCCGCCACAGTCTGTTTTCCTCGTTGGGTGCATGCGGATCAGGAGAAATCTGATAGGTATGATTGAGAATTCTGCACCAAGCAAAAGGAAATAAAAACAAAAAAGACCAGCTCTAAAACTGGGAACTTGGAATGTCCGGACCATGTTGACGGGCTTTACAGAGAATTTGGCGATGCCAGGAAGACAGCCATTATAAATGATGAACTCAAGAGACTAATGGAAACCCGTCTGGCGTAAGCGGGCACACTGAAAGAGAAAGGCAACACACTCATGGAATAGGCTACGCCGTGGAGAACACCTTGATGAAAAAATGGAGCCAGGCAACAATGGCTCTGCACGACTACCCACTCTTTGCCTCAACACCACTGAAGGAACCCTTACTCTCATCAGTTTTTATACACCCACCTTAACAGCCACATTTGAGGCAAAGGAGGAGTTCTATGATAACCTCGCAACCACAATCGGAAACATCCCCAGCTCGGAGCAGTTAATTCTCCTGTGTGATTTCATTGCCACAGTCGGCGCTGATTATGACTATTGCCTTGGAACATTTGGTGTGGGAAAAATGAATAAAAATGGCCAATAACCTGTGAATCCCTAAATCATAGTTCCAGACAAAACCCCAACACAATGTCTCTTGGCGGCATTCACGCTCTATGCATTGGCACCAGCTGGACTGATCATGACCAGGCGCACCTTACTCAAGAACATACTACTCACCCGTTCCTACCAGAGTGCGGGCTGCGATACAGACCATTCTCTGGTTTATTGCAGGACCAGGATGCAGCTGAAGAAATTCCAACCATGCCAGACAGCACAGAAAGGCCCGCATTGACACGAGCAAGATACTCAAAATAGAACCCGTGAAGCAGGAAAAAGGAACTTGACATCTCTGCAGTCCAGATATCGGCTACTCATAAGTGGGAAAAGCTGCGAAACACCATCTATTGCACAGCCCTGATCACTTTTGGGAAGGAAATATTTAAATTTCATGACTGGTTTGAAGCAAAGTCTTTTGAGGTGACACCCATCATTGCAGCCACTCTTAACGAAAAGAACCTTCAGACACTTAGAACTGTAAGGAACAATGTTCAACAGACTGATCAACGCTGCGCTAATGAGTACTGGACCCAGCTCAGTGAAGACAACCAGACTGCTGCCATTATGGGAAACATCAGAGGAATGTACGATGGTATCAAGAGGGCACGTGGATCAGTCCAGACTAAGTCAGCTCCACTCAACTCTTCTACTGGAGAAGTAATCACTGACAAGAGTCAACATATGGAGAGGTGGATGGAACATTATTCTGACATCTACTCAAAACAGAACACCGTGTCTGCATCAGCCCTCAATGCAATCAAATGCTTGCTCACCATGTACTGGATGCTGAACCAATGTTGG